GATCTAAGAAAGATACAGACTACACTGTAAACGCCACTGTAATTAACTGGCTAGAGACATCTGTGGTGACAACTGGGAGCAAATAGAGAAGGTTCCTGTCATCCAAGGGCTAAAAGCAGAGACACAAGGGCTCACGGAATAAGTGATAAAGAAGCAGAAACTTGCAAAGTGACCTACCAAAGCTCAAGACCACGTCAAAAGCAGAGAACAGAGATACCACTCGCTGCAGAAAACGAGGTAGGAAGAGAGCCTTAAGAGAAACTTTGGAGCAAAATAAGATGGAAAAGGAAGAGTTTAAACAATGAGAGGGAAGAAAATGGTAGTTACAAAAGATGGGTAAAAGTGGTCCAAGAAAATTGATGCATCACTGGACTCCACCTCTGAAACTAATAATACACTCCATGTTCGTTAATTGAGTTTAAATTTTAAAAAGTGGTACAAGAAATGCAGTTATCCTAAAACAAAGAGAACGGGAAAAAAAATTCAGATTTCTAGTTCAAGGAAACTTTGCTGAAATAAAGCAAGATGCAAACTCACTGTGCAAAAATTTACCACAGAAAGCTTGAGAAAGGTTGATTAACATCAAGACGTATCACAGTGAAGCAAATAGACTTGATAATTTTAAAAATATTGGCACCTGGACCAAAAGAACCCATTGCCTTGCATCAGACAGAATGGGCTAGGTTATGGTGGTAACAAGTATCCCCAGATCTCAGTGGGTTAAAACAATAGAACTTTATTTTTCACTCATGCTACACTGTCCAATTAGGGTGAGTTATGGGGCTCTACCCGTCGCAGTCACCTGGATTGATGGTGCAGTCTTCATCTACAACTTGCCAGTTACCATGCCAGAAGGAACGAGAGCTCTGCACAATGTCTCACTACAGGAACGACTCGGGCTTGGAAGTGATACATGTAAGTTTTGCTCACACGGCCCTACACAACCACAAGGAGACTCTGGAAAATATAACCTTACCACATAAAGGGAAGTTGGAGAGCTAGAAATATTTTTAAGCAGCACTAATGACCACCACATATCAAAAAGGGAGAAAACATTAGGCTGACTTTGGGTCTTTCTGTACAGCAATATAATATTGAGGCAGAAAGCTAAAAAGAGCCCTGCCCCTACCATTTCAACAACCAAAACACTGAACGTTGCAAATTCACAACTTAATATGAACCCATGAGACAGCTGAGGTCCCAAGGCAACCAACCCACTGAAATTCGAAGGACATGAGAATTTCCATGTTGAGAAGCATGAGCACCTGTTCACCTGGGCAGATGTTTTAGTGGAAGAAAGGTGAACAGTGTGCAGGGTCACGTAGGTAATTCAGCAGAGAGAGGGAGGAGGCTATATGGAGAGTCAGATGGCTAGGCACAGTCACAGAAATGAAGGATGTCTTTGATTGGGGCATCAGCAGGCTCAGCAGAACTGAGAGAGAGCTGATCAAGTGTCATTTATGTTGGGAATGCAAGGCTGGCCCACCATTCAAAAGTCAACCATTGTTTTTCATCACATTAGCAAACTAAAGAAGAAAAGGCAGATGAACATCTAAGTCAATGCAGAAAAAGACAAATTCAACATCCATCCATGATTTAAAAATGAAACAAAACAAAAATTCTCAGAAAACAAGGAAAAGGAGGGAACTTCGTAACCTGATAATGAGCATCTATGGAAAACTTAGAGCTAACATATTTAATCCTGAAATCAGAAACAAGGCAAGGATGTATGCTCTCAGCATGTCTATCCAACATTATACTGGAGGCTCTAGTCAGTTCAATAAGGCAGAAAGAGAAAAAGAGGGAGGAAGGGAAGAAGGGTGGGAGGGAGAGAAGGTAGAGGGAGAGAAAAAAAGAATTAAGAGGCTCCCAGACTAGAAAGTATGTAACCACCTCTCTTTGCAATTCTCATGACTGCCTACATAGAAAACCCAAAAGAATCTACAAAAGAGCTCCAGAACTGTTGAGTTTAATAAGAACACAGGATACACGGTCAGTAACAAAAACCAAATTTCTATATACTAGCAATGAACAAGAGACAAGTAAAACTTTGAAGTACCATTAAAATAGCACCGAAATTAAAAATAGAGTTTCCCTATGACCCTGCAATTGCACTACTGGGTATTTACCCCAAGGATACAGATGTAGTGAAAAGAAGGGCCATCTGTACCCCAATGTTTATAGCAGCAATGGCCACGGTCGCCAAACTGTGGAAAGAACCAAGATACCCTTCAATGGACGAATGGATAAGGAAGATGTGGTCCATATACACTATGGAGTATTATGCCTCCATCAGAAAGGATGAATACCCAACTTTTGTAGCAACATGGACAGGACTGGAAGAGATTATGCTGAGTGAAATAAGTCAAGCAGAGAGAGTCAATTATCATATGGTTTCACTTATTTGTGGAGCATAACAAATAACATGGAGGACATAGGGAGATGGAGAGGAGAAGGGAAATTGGAAGGGGAGATGAACCATGAGAGACTATGGACTCTGAAAAACAATCTGAGGGTTTTGAAGGGGCGGAGGGTGGGAGGTTGGGTGAGCCAGGTGGTGGGTATTAAGGAGGGCACGTATTGCATGGAGCACTGGGTGTGGTGCATAAACAATGAATTCTGTTATGCTGAAAAGAAATAAAAAAAATAGCACTGACACACATGAAATAGTATAAGCATAAATATTATAAAATATGTTAAGACCTATATACCGAACATGGTACAATACCGACGGAATGTAAAAAGGCCCAAGTAAATGGAGGTCTATACCATGAATATGCCAATTCTCTCCAAATTGAGATATAGAGTCAGTGCAATCCCAGTCAAAATCCCAGCAGGATTTCTCGAGAAACTGATCAGCAAATTCCAAAATCCTTGTGGAATGCAGAGGAACTAGGCTAGCCAAAGCAATGTGGGAAAAGAACAAAGTTGAGGGCTGGCAGTAAACAGACTCTCATTTCAAATGTTCTCTCATCCTCCTGACCCCACATGAAATTCAGCTCCCCACCCCCTACACTTAAGGCCATTGTTCTCCCCACAGGCCCTCAGCAGAGGGCCAGGCTGCTCACGTCTTGCCACTTCCAGACCATTGGCCCCCTACCTCAATCATGAATCCTCTCTCATCCGACCCTCATGCCACCAGCTCTGTTTGTCCTGACCCCTGCTCAAGTTTTTAAAACAAACTTATTCAGAAGTTTGGTGTAGTCTTCTGCCTTCAACTCTTACAACCATATTGGGCACTCTGAACACCCACAGGGATGAGCCATTCAAGGAGACTCCCCAGCATTGACTTGAACTGTTTAAGTATCCTTCACCTCCTTCCATTTTAGCTAGCTCCTCCCAAGTGGCTTCCTCATTAGGACACTAGAGCAGTGGGTCAGGAGGGACCACAAGCTCACTAGCTCAACCTAGGCCTTCTTAGAGGGAGCACTGTTGTTCCAACACTGCCTTCCCAGCCATAGCCACCTCCTCTGGGGACAGTCAAAGAAACAGGTCCTGGGAGGCTCCCACAGAGTGCAGGCATCAAAAAGGACCCCAAGGCCTTGGGACAGCAGGTCAAATACCACCAACCCATCAACTGAGTGAGATATAGCTTAGATGTTTGACTGCCTCCGTGCAGTCATTGAGCTTCCAGAACTACAAGATTCCCCGGGGATTTGTCTGCTTCACCAGGGGTAGTGGTTGCACTGTGATTTAATTATGATTACCTATGGTCTTTTTATGTGTTTTTAAATATGGAAAGAAAAGGGGCCCAGATTGAGACAGTGACTTAGGAGCTGTCACAATGAGATCTCAGAGTTAGTGCTGGCTGCCCATGCTCCCCATCCCAGGAAGACTATACAAGGCCACAGCTGACCCTGCACATGCCCCGTGACACCAGAAGAGAGAAATCATGGTTGTATGCACCATGAGGCAGCAAGACACACCTTGCAGGTAGGATAGGCCCGTGAGTGCTGCTGTCTGGGTTACCCAGAGCCTGCTGGATCTATCACTCTGGAGGGCTGCTGGACGACTGAACTTGGCCCATTCCTCCCTGCAAAATGAGGCAGGTTCTAGGGTGCCGGGCCCAGTCCCACCTTGTACTTTAGGTGTATCTTTTATCTCTCTACGTCATTTCCCATTTGCCACCTGGTTTCACAGTGCCCTGGACCACCATCAGGGAGCTCACCCAGCCTAAGCTGTCATGCTGGTCAGCCTTCGACAGGACTCTCAGGGAGGACTAATCCCAGGAGCCCAATTCCAGAGGGCGATGTTTTTCCCCCTTCTTCGCAGACGCCAGGGTGGATCTCCAGTCTCCAGATCCCCATATACTGTGTTCCTGATGCACATTCTCTAGAGATCCCTATACGGTACAAATACAATTTCATCATCCACCAAGGATCCCTTTCACCTTGCTCGCATCCTTTTGGAAAGGTTTTCGCACACCTTTGTCCAGGGAAAAGAGAGAAACCAGGTTCATTGTTCATTTGCATTTTTAAGCAGCCAATTTGGGTTTTGGAAGAAAAAAAACACTTGTTGGAAGAAAAAGCAAGGAACAATATAAACAACTTTCTATGTCACTTTAAAAGAAATCAGATGCTGTACACGAGAATAGACTGCCGTGGGAAATTGGAAAATGTCTTTCTCCAAATATCTTTAAAAAGGCAAAATAAATACCCATCTGTTCCCCGATGGCAGAACAGCAAAAATGTTAGAAAAGCAGTAGAACGCATCACAGCCACATTTGTAAAGACCTCTTTCAACCATGCATATCCTCCTTCACATATGTCAGAGGTGGGAAAGTGGGATGGTAAAAATGGAAAAGGAGGTCCAGGAAGCAACACCTTTACAGGGAAAATCTATAATCCTATAAAACGTTCTCCGGAAAGACAGTCCCTCTTGCATTGAACCTAACCTGAAGTGAATTAAGGACCGGGACTATATACATGAATAAAGTCTCCCGAAAATGTCTGTAAATGCATGGGATGGAATGCATGAATCAGGAGTGCCCTTGCCGTCACCTTCAACGTGAGCCTCACAGCGTTGCAGTCCTCCTGCAGCGGGTTCAGCTTCAGCGTCTCCCCAAGGTTGCTGCAGCCCGACGACTGGTGCTGCCTTTCGCAGCAGACACACACCTCGACACTGTCAAACTTAATCTAGACAGAGGAACACAGACAGATCTCACAATTAAAACGGCATTCTGCCCCGGGCGGGGGTACACTTGAGCTACACAATTCAGATCGTGTGAAAACGCACCCCACTTCTGTTTTCCTTAAGTAATCAAGCCAAAATGACTTTTTTATGGACAAAAAAACGGGACCAAAAAAAAAAAAAACAAGAAACAAAAAAAAACCAGCCCACACCCCAGTAGGAATAATTTCACGTTCCGATTTAAAAAGTGATGAATTAAAAAGAATGCATGTGGAGTGACCGAAGTTATGAAGTTACAATTTTGGGTGAGCTGCAGAAGGAGATTAAAGCAAAGGAACGGAAAACTGCTCATGCTGAGGTATGCATGGAGATGTGTTCTCATGGCTCTGTGCCTTGGTTTACCAGTGCTGCTCCCGTGGTTAGCAGTTTCCTGACTCACTTCCTGGCCTACCAAACTCCTACTCATCCGTTAAGACCCAACTCCAGCGTCATCCTTGAGACCTTGTCTGTTTTTCCCTCTCTGGAGCTGCTTGCCTCTCCCCTGGACAGCACACTCCCACCCCAGGTCTGCTGGAGACTTTTTTTTTTTTTAATTTTTATGTTTTTTAAAGATTTTATTTATTTGTCACAGAGAGAGAGAGAGAGAGCACAAGCAGACAGAGCAGCCGGCAGAGGGAGAAACAGACTCCCCACTGAGCAAGAAGCCTGATGAGGGACTCGAACCAAGAACGCTGGGATCATGACCTGAGCCGAAGGCAGATGCTTCACTGACTGAGCCTCCCAGGTGTCCCTGCTGGACACTTGTGTTGTCCAGCTGCAGATTCTGTGTCCTGCGTGCCCCCTGAGGACAGTCACCACACGTCACCATCATAGCGTTCATAATGCAATGAGGTGTGGCATTTCAATAAATGTTGAATAAATAAAAATGTCTTGGAAAATTACAAACCATGGGAAGAAAAAAAAAGGCAATTTGAGGGTTTTAAAAAGCCTGGAGCTCAGCAGGAGCCCCTCAGAGCACACGGCCGTCCTCCCCCGGCAGCCTGACGTGGGACGGCTCAGCCCAGGCTGCAGAAATGAGCAATACTGCATTCTTCCATTCACTTGGTCCTGCACGCACCCCCCCCATTTCCTCCTTCCCACTCCTAGTCGAGCCCTCCTCTGCACCTAATCGTTATCGCATGCACACCCAACTGCTCACAAACACAGACTTCCAGAAAGGAAAAGGAACAGCCACAGGTCAAGGGTATTGTCCACGCCCAAATTTTCATCTATTCTCAACCTCTGGATAGTTTGTCCCTTATTTGATGCTTCAATTTTTGCTCTTTTAATTCGATCTTCTAACGTAATGAGTGACGGGCTGGTAGAAGAGGCTGGAGGGCTGGAGGCCAGCAGCAGAAGAGCTGTACCTGCATAAACTATCACCCTGGGCCTCCAGCAACCCGACTGACAGCAGGGGGCCTATAAAAGTCACCTTTGCCTTTCATGCTTTTGGTGATGTCTCCAGACTCCAGAGCTGGAGTCCACGCTGAGCACGGAGTGTAGCCCGCGAGCCTTAACAACACACCCGTAACAACAAACACCCCTCAGAGAAGGTACAGCCGGCACCCACTCTGGGTTATCTGCAGGGCCAGGCTCCTGGGTACAAGCCCTCCCACGATTCCCCTCCTTTGTGCAAAGCAGCCTGTCCTGCCGAGCCACAGAACACACAGAACTCTGGGCGCCAAATGGGGACAGCTGGGTCTGGACCCCTGAATCCCACACACTCAGATGTGTGCTCTGGGCAAGGCCCCTTCCCGCCAGCTGGTCAGGGCTGAGGTGGCTGCAGGGACACTGTCCCATAACACACCCCTCGGACTGCAGGTTCTTCTCCAACTAGAGATGCCACGAAATGAAGAAGGGGTGCCTGCGTGGCTCAGTCGGTTAAGCATCTACCTTCCTCTCAGGTCATGATCCTGGAGTCCCGGGATTGAGCCCCACATCGGGCTCCCTGCTCAATGGGGAAGCTGTTTCTCCCTCTGAACTTCCCCCCTCTCATGTGCTCTCTCTCTCTCTCAAAATAAATAATAAATAAAAATCTTAAAAAAAAAAAAAAAAAGGAATGAAGAAGTACATTTGGAAAGTACAACAGTCATTCCTCTTACCTGGGAAAGTGTTTTGTGTTGGTCTCAGCCTATTGAGAGTGATGCTACCGGCTAGGAGAGGCTGGGGGCATTCACCTGCGGGGGGCATTCACCTGCGCCTGTTACCTGTGATGAGTCCCCAGAGACAGGACCCTGACTGGAGCTAATGTTGTGGCTAGACCAGCCCTTACGGTTCTTAAAACAACTGTAAGACGGTCCTCAGCAATACTCATCAGGGAATTTTGATAGAATAAAGCCTATTAGTCAAAGTTTCCGGAGGGTACCCCGTACACCCAGGGCCACTTAGGGATGCCACAATGGGGTGGGGGGTCGGGGGAGAGGCCACCTGTGGCTTTGCCTTTGCTCTGATTCAGGGTGGGGTAGGTGCCCAGGATTTCATAGGTTCACTCTTAAAACATAAGAGCAAGTATTAGGGCACCAGAAGGGAAAAGCAGGGTCACTCAAGAGGTCAGTTCTTTGGGTCACCCAGGGCTTTCTAAGAGGGAATCTTCAGGGCTGGGGTGGCCTGGCTCCTTATCTCATCATGTAGCTTGTAACTGTGGGCAGTGTGTTTATTCAGGATGGATGGCTTTGAAATGAATGCCTTGATAATCAAAAGCTTAATGTCAGGCACATACACCATAGAGACTCTTTCCCCAGAGCCCATTCCCCTTCCCCTGGTGTCCCCTGCATTTTCCAGGGCTCAACTGCTCAGGGAGGCCTCCCAACACCTTCCTTAATGCCTTCTGCCTTCCTCTGTTCTGTCTATGGGGCCCACTCCTGGTCCCCCTCACTCTTCTGCTTTCTCCTCTGACCACGGCATTTATCACCTCTACACATGCCCTAGGACTGGTTCATTCTGTTCATTTTCTGTTCCACGCATCAAGAATATAAGGGGGCGCCTAGGTGGCTCAGTCATTTAGGTGTCGGCCTTCAGCTCAGGTCGTGATTCCGGGGTCCTGGGATCAAGTCTGGCATCGGGCTCCTTGCTCAGCAGGAAGCCTGCTTCTCCCTCTCCCACTCTCCCTGCTGGTGTTCCCTCTATCTCACTGTCTCTCTCTCTCTGTCAAATAAAAAAATAAAATCTTAAAAAAAAAAAAAAAACAACCCAAAACGAGTGTAAAGCTAAGATTTGGCTCTGTGTTATTCGCAGATGCACGGGAGAACCTACAACAGCTCTGACTGGGAATGGCTTTCTCTCTCGATCTCTCCACAACCTGCCTGCTACCCCCGCTGGAACAATATGAAAAGATCCTAGTTCTCATATTTCCCCTGAAAGGGGCAACACATTACACTGTCCACTAGCCTCATTGGCCTAATTAGCTTATCGTGTCACACTCTTAACTGTGGGCATAAAATAGCCTAATGCTAGAAGAGGAAGGAGAAGATAATTTGGGGGGAGCAGGCAAGGCTAGCTAAATCTTCAATGAAGCAAAAAGGCCTAAAATAAGATTCTCACGGCGCCCATGGCTATGTCTGCATAAACTTGAAATGGTGTCCCATGTTAGATATCTATTTAAGTATTCCCGCTCTGAATTCAAAGCCACAGCCCAACACTTTCTACCGAGCACACATTTTTTCAACTGAAATTTAAGATTCTATAATAAGGGAAAATCTATTTAAAATACAGGAAGTACCTAGTACCTCAAGGAACGCTCAAAACCAACCATCACCCACATGAGTAAATGCACAGCCCAGTGATTTACTGAGACCAATACTGTCATGGTGTGGCTGGGATTTGATTTAATTTTAATGTAATTTAATTTTAATTTAATTTAAATGTAAAAAAAAATTCCTACACAACCTTTAGAAAAAAACACTGGAGAAGATCTTTAGGATCTAAGGCTAGGCAAAGAGTTCTTGGAGCGACACCAAAAGTATAAGAGCAAAAATGGAATTTTATGCTATAAATGACCAGTTACGAGGATGAAAGACATACTATAGGCTATGAGAAAATATTTCCGAACTACATATTTCAACAAAACCATAGACCATATATGATTTCTTTTATTCTAAAGTTTTAACTGTTTTGTTTTATTGCTTGCTTAGTGTCCTCTCTGACCATCTCTAATTCACCCTCGATCTCGCCAGAAGAACTGAAAATATCCTGAGTATGATCTTACACATCCGAGGTTCTGTTGGCTTTATTTTCTTCTTAGAGACTGCTGCACTGAGCCCCTATCTTCTGCTTTAATCTGGACTAGTTAATCCATAGGCAGTCCATACATGCTGGTCATGTACATGTTGGGAAATCCTTCTGCCCCCGTCTCTCGGGGCACCTGGGTGGCTCAGTCCTTAAGTGTCTGCCTTTGGCTTGGGTCATCATCCCAGGATCTTGGGATCAAGTCCCACATCAGTCTCCTTGCTCAACGGGGAGTCTGTTCTCCCTCTGCCTGCCTGCTCTCCTTGCTTGTGCTCTCTCTCTCCCTGACAAATAATTAAATAAAATCGTTTTTTAAAAAAAGTCTCTCTCTTTCCTGTGTTAGATCCCCTCTTCTCCTGTTTCTTGGCTTACAGTCTCACTGTGGGGAAGTAAGCTCCTTCAGGACTTTTCTGGCTAAAATTAAAGACTGCAAATCCCAAGTAAGCCAGGATGGGGAGCACTGGGGACCCTCATACAAGTCTAGTAGGTGCGTAAATTGACACAACCCCTTTGGAGAAGGGCGAGACATTATCTACACTGTAGTATGAAACTTAGGATGAGCTTGATATTTCTACCCATAGATATCTAACTGCTCCAGTACCATTTGTTGAAAAAGGCTATCATTTCTCCATTGTTTTTGACCTTTGTCAAAAATTGGCTGAGTATATTTCTGGGTTCTCTAATTTTGTTCCTTTTGTCTATTTGTCTCTCTCTCTCTGCTTTGATTAATGTGGCTATAAGT